AAAGCAGTTTTTTCCAATTCTGTGAAGAAACTCTTTGGTAGCTTGATGGGGATGGCATTGAATCTATAAATTACCTTGAGCAGTATGGCCATTTTCACTACATTGATTCTTCCTAGCCATGAGCTTGGAATATTCTTCCATTTGTTTGTGTCCTCTTTTATTTCACTGAGCAGTGGTTTGTAGTTCTCATTGAAGAGGTCTTTTGCTTTTAAGAGAAAGAGGGTCTTGCTCTGTCACCCAGGCCGGAGTGCAGTGGTGTGATGATCGCTCACTGCAGCTTTGAACTACCGGGCTCAAAAGATCCTCCTGTGTAGCTGGGATTACAGGAGTAAATTGCCACACTATTTTTTTCTTAATAGTAAATAAAATGAAACCTTAAATCACTTAGGGAAACGTAGATTTCTCCCTACTTATTGCAGAGACTCATTTAAAAGGTTCTAAACAACTTATGTACTGAGGGTACATCATATCACACTGTTTGATGATGCCATCTCTTTTCATTTATTTAAAGACTGTTGATTTCTATGTCACAACATATATAGATATGTATTATAAATTTAAATAACCAGACATGTTGGTATTTTTTGGCTGGCTAAATTTTATATGGAAATATCAAGATCCTACTGAATACTCAGTAAGTGACAGTCATGTGACTAAAAACTATTAGAGGCCTCCAGGCTCAGGTTACTTTGAAATGATTACTGTGTATTTTTTGAAAAATAAAATACATAATAGAACTAGCTAGCATAATTATGTAATTAAATATTATTAAGATCCAAATGTTTGGAAATCTAGACTATAAAAATTTATCCTCTGACCTGAATGAAATAATGTAACCTCTGTACTTAGATTTTGCTTAGTTTTAAATAAAATATAAGCAGTTATACTTCATGCTGTCCATAGTCAGCCCCTGTATCCATGGGTTCTGCATGTGTGGATTCAAGCAATCACAGATGAAAAATATTAAAGAAAAAAAAGGTGTGGTTGCATCGGTACTGAACATGTACAGACCTTTTTCCTTGACATTATTTCCTAAACAATACAGTAAAATAAGAACATAGCATTTACATTGTATTTGGTATTGTAAGTAATCTAGAGATTATTTATTTGAAGTATATGGGAAGACACATGTAGGTTATATGCAAATACTATACCATTTTAAATCAGGGACTTGAGTGTCTATGGATTTTGGTATCTGTGAGGGGTCCTGGAACCAATCCCCCACAGATACTGAGGGATGATTGTATATCTTAATAGCTACAGAGATTAGACTGAAAATTGAGTTCTATTCACATAAAGTAGAAATGCATGAAGTGCCAGCATTCAAAAGAAGCATGTTTTGATTAAATTGTTTGACCGTTAAAAAAGAAACACTGTAATATAAATCTCCTTGTTTGATTTTATGATATTTTTACAATATTATTTTCAGGTATTTGATCTGCCAGATTAAAGATTATTACTTAAGAAATACTTAGACTTAAACCTTTAAAAAAAAAAAAACAAGCTTTAAGGGAAACAACATATTACTTTTATATATATAACATAAACAAAAAGTAATATACCAAAATACGACAAATTAATTCTTTCTCTATTTTTCTCAGTAGCACAGAAGGGAAAAAACAAGACTCACCTTTGCCTGCAGGCTGAGGTACTGCAAATCCAGGCAATAAAAACGGTGCCCCTGTGGTAATACCAGCTGGTTTTAGTTCATTGACACCATATGTTGTTAGGGAAGTTATCAGATTAACCAGATCTTTCAAGGCATCTTTGGATTCTGCCTCTTTTGCTTGCTCCAATCTAGAAAGATATGATTTAGAAAGTATTTTTTCTCTTTGGTTGTGTTCTCAGATTTAACACAGAAAGTATTTTTCAATTTTATACGCAGTAAATAAATGTATAAAAGTACTCTGAGAAGTACCGAAAGAACACTGGGGTCATTAGGGAATTATCTTTTAACAATGGTTTTACTGAGAACAGAAAATGGGTTGCAACAAATATCTTTTTTTTAAAAAAAATAGATTTATTGGGTATTTCCCCTTAAAAGAAGTAATTATTCTCATTAAAATAAACTTGGAGAATGCCAAAAAGTAGGAAAGAAGAAAAAGTACGATTAGCCTCACAAACACAATTAACATTCTTATATATTTCTTAAGCTTATCTTTTTAATATGAAAAGTTTAGTTTTTACAGTATTTATTCTCAGACTATATACAGAACGTTGTACCCTATTTTTTTCCTTTACTAGTGCTATATGTGTATTTCCACATGTTAGTGTAAGCTTTCACAGGTAAGCTTACAGGGGCCATACAGAGCCAACCACACATTTGGGGAGGGAGAGGTCCAACAGCCAGCAGAATACAAAAGCACTAATAAATAAAATCTTGTCTACATTTTGGATTATATCTTTAGGATCAATAAACAAATGAAATTATTGTATCAGATTACCAACATTTTTAAGGCTCTTAATATCTTGCCAACCTACACTTTCAAAGGATGAATCAATTAATACCCCTCTAGCAATGTGAAGTGGTTATTTAATCAACTTCCGTATGTATTTATAAATTTGCATATATATGCAAAATGATATTCTTAGGGGTTATCTAATATCAACTAGCAGCAACTAGGTTAAATTGATGTTACAAATAACAAGTTCTGGCCAGGCATGGTGGCTTACACCTATAATCCTGGTGCTTTGGGAGGCTAAGGCAGGAGGACTGCTTGAGGCTAGGAGTTTGGTAGCAGCCTGGGCAACATAGGCTCTACAAAAAAAATAAAATAAATAAAACAAAATATAGCTGGGTGTAGCTACTTAGGAAACTGAGATAGGAGGATCTCTTGTGTTCAAAATTATAGTGAGCTATGATTATGCCACTGCACTCCAGCCTCGGAACATAATGAGACCCTAGAGGGAGGGAGGGAGGGAGGAAGGAAGGGAGGAAGGAAGGGAAGGAGAGAGACAAGTAAGTTTACAAAACAGTGGTGTCTTATAAAAGATCAAATGATTTAAAAATAATTAATGGCCCAGGAATAGCTGCTGAAAAATTATGAGTATCTTCTTCTTAAGAAAATCTGTAACCAGCCACTTTCTAAGTATGTGCATGAATCATTTGCAATGGAAAAGGGGGTAACACATTTTGAAATTATTAATTTTTTTCACATACACAATTTTAAGGTTTCAATTCATCTACATAATTATTCTTGTTATTCAGTACATTAATAAAAAGACTAGAAGTACTATAAAATAAAGAACCAAAAATTAAGAAGAGTTTATACTTTAAGAAGATAATAATTCATCTAAATTCTTCTCCTTCAACTACTAAAGAGCAGATTTATGCTTCATATCTAACCTCTGACTTCACCACATTTGTGGCCTGCATTTGGCAATTTAACTCTAAATTCACATTTCCACTCTGTTGGCAGAACAGGAATAAAAAGAAGGGAGTAGGCCAGGTGTGGTGGCTCATGACTGTAATCTCAGAACTTTGGGAGGCCGAAGGATCACTTGAGGCCAAGAGTTTGAGATCAGCCTGGGCAACATAGCAAGATCCTGTCTCTATAAAAAATGTTTAAAAATTAGCTGGGGTGTGGTGGTACATGCCTGTAGTCCTAGCTACTTGGGAGGATGATGTGGGAGGACCATTTGAGCCCAGGAATACGAAGCTACAGTGAGCTGTGATCACACCAGGAAAAGTAGGGAGTACAGCCAGGTATACATTAAATAAGTGTTTCATTAACCTGCTTTTTCTATAACACCAAATCACATTGTTTTCTTTGATAAAAAAAGACTGAATAGACATTTAAAATATATTCTTAAATTGTGCAGTCTTACCTAAGCAAGAGATCACAAAGAAAATTATATCCTTGCCATATCCGAAAATCATCCAGAAGTGTTTGGGAAACATCACTGGAATCTTTGAGAAAACAAGAAAGCCCAGCAAACATTTCAACAATTTCTAGGGGAGACAGGTCATCTGATTGCTGCATATTCTGAACACATGTAGATAAACACTCTTTCTCTGTAAGAATAGATAATTAAATAAATATGCATTATTCCTGACAATTGCTTAAAAATTTTTTAATTGTTAACTGTTGTTTAATGAAACATTAAATTTTAACATATCTGTAAAATACCATGAGATAAATGTAACACATTCTAAAAGTCAAATAAGAGTCATATGCACTGGGAAAGCACTGCCTCTAGGTAGTAAACAAAGGATAATACAGAAATGTGTTGAAAAATACTTGACATGTATGCACATGTAATTTTTTCACATATTTTGCTGTTTTATTAAACAAATGGCCACTGCCAAATCATATTTTTGATATTTTATATTGATATAGTAACAAGATGAAAAAAGCAAAAACTATCTTCTAAGTTTAAGAACAAAAATCTAGTAATTAGTTAAAACTTTAAGTTAGGGAGAATATATAGCCTGGCTAACATGGTGAAACCTCGTCTCTACTAAAAATACAAAAATTAGCTGGGTGTGGTTGCACGCGCCTGTAGTCCCGGCTACTCGGGAGGCTGAGGTAGGAGAATCACTTGAACCTGGGAGGCAGAGATTGCAGTGAGTCGAGATCACGCCACTGCACTGCACTCCAGCCTGCGTGACAGGGCAAGACTGTCTCAAAAAAAATAAAATAAAATAAAACCAAAAAATAAATTAGAGAGACTATAGACAAATGAGATACAGAAAAACTTTAGGAAATAAAAGTTTTAAAATTTTATTTGTATATTACTTGTTTAAAACACAGTTATATCTTATGCCTGACTCAGGATCTGTAGCATTTCAAGGAAGATTTTCACTTTCTTATCTTTGGTAATATGTATTTGTATAAAGAAACTTACTGTTACATAACAAAAGCTAAGATTTAACAGAGGAATGGGAGGAAATACGCATTTAATAACTGACTCATGTATTAGGTACTAGCTTTCACATATATCATTTAGTAAATGTAAGTGAACAAATTGGTGTATTATTTTGAAAGAGTTTCAGGACAATAATATCAGGTAGTTCTCAACTTGATGATTTAAGATTTTTCTACTTTATGATGGTGTGAAAGTAACATGTGTTCAGTAGAAACTGTACTTTATGTACCCATATAAGCATTGTTTTCCACTTCAGAATAGTGTTCAGTAAATTACATGAGATATTTAATACTTTATTATAAAGTTGATTTTGTGTTAGATGATCTTACTCAACTATAGGCTAACGTAAGTGTTCTAGTTACTTTCAGGGTAGGCTAGGCTGTTATGATGTTTGGTAGGTTAAGTATATTAAATGTGTTTTTGACTTACATTATTTTCAAATTACGATGGGTTTATTGGGACATAACCCCATCGTAAATCAAGGAGCATCTGTGTATATACCAAATAAGCAGATTGCTTGAGATGCTAAGGCAATTGTCTCCTATACAGACATTTTAAAAGACAGTTGAATATTACATATACTTTAAACCGACAGTGTCTTCTTATTGCTGATAAAGAATCCACCTAATTCCATCTATGCTGCATAAGACAGATTATTACCTAGCAACTTATGCAATATCTTCAGAAAGACTGGTTATAGGATATCAAAAAAACTTCTTTTTTATTCAGTAAAAGAAGAGAGAATAGGCTGTGACATAGAACTTTCATTACATTATGACTGAATTTACACAACAATGAAATTTTTTTTAACTTTTAGAAATATCCATTGTTGGCCAGGTGTAACGGCTGACACCTGTAATCCCAGCACTTTGGGAAGCCAAGGAGGGTAGATCATTAGGTCAGGAGTTCAAGACCAGCCTGGCCAAGATAGTGAAACCCTGTCTCTATTAAAAATACAAAAATCAGCCGGGTATGGTGGTGTGCACCCGTAATCCCAGCTACTCGGGAGGCTAGGGCAGAGAACTGCTTGAACCCAGGAGGTAGAGGCTGCAGTGAGCTGAGATTGCACTACTGCATTCCAGCCTGGGCAACAGAGAGAGACTCCATCTCAAAAAAAAAAAAAAAAAACAAAAAAAAGAAATATCTGTTGTTCAGAACTTACGAGGAGAATGTTTTACATTTGAAATGCCCCCATAGATGAAAAAAAATTTTCTTTTATCTCGGCAAATTTATTTTTTAGTTTAAAGAATAAGGTATAGAATACTGAAAGATAAAAATACATCTATTATTAAATGAAGAAAAGTGGAAGAAATTTAGAACACTGAAATATATAAAGAGATATTCACCATGAATATACTTCACTACATTGACACTAAGACCATGACGAGATATGGTCATGAGGACTTCTCCAGCACTCTTTCTCCAAGGCAGGTTATAGGGAGGGCACCAAGAGGTTATTGCACTGAATAGAAGCTGGAGATCATCTTTCTGAGCCAGCTCCTCCGCAGGGGAAACAAAACTGCACAGTTTCACTAAGATCTAAAAAATAAAACAAAACAAAACAAGAGTGTATAAGCAAAAATCAAATAATCTGATTTAAAAATGGGCAAATGAGCTGAATGGACTTCTCTCAAAAGAAGACATAGAAATGGCCAACAGGTATATGAAAAAATGCTCAACATCACTAATCATCAGGGAAATGAAAATTAAAACCACAATAAGGTATCACCTCAAGCCAGTTAGAATGGCTATTATCGAAGATAAAAATGAACAGATGCTGGTTAGGATGTAGAGAAAGGGGAACTCCTATATACTGTTAGTGAGAATATAAATTAGTACAGCCATTATGAAAAACAGTATGGAGGATCCTCAGAAAAGTAAAAATAGAACTACCATATGATCTAGCAATCCCACTACTGGGGGTATATATCCAAAGGAAATGAAATCGGTATGTCAAAGAGACAGCTGTACATCCACATTTACTGTAGCACTATTCCCAATAGTCAAAATTTAGAATCAACCTAAGTATCCAACAGATGAATGGATAAAGAAAATATGGAATACATATATACAATCTAAAACTATTCAGTCATAAAAAAGAATGAAATTTTGTCATTCAAGGCAATGTGGATAATATGTTAAGGAAAATAATCCAGGCACAGAAAGATGAATATTGAATGCTTTCATTCACATGTAGTAGCTTAAAAAGTTGATCTCATAAAAGTAAAGTGTAGAATTTTGGTTACAAAGGGTGGATAAGGGAAAGCGAGTGGGGCAAACTAAAGGCTGGTTAAGGGATACTGAAGTACAGTTAGGATTAAGTTCTAATGTTCTATAGCACTATAGGGTGAATATTATTTAAAAAACAATTTATTGTATATTTTTAAATAGCCAGAAGAATGAATTTTGAATGTTCCCAATGCAAAGAAGTAATAAATGTTTGAGGTGATGGATATATATACACTAGTTACCCTTGATTTGATCATTACACATTGTATACATAAAAATTATTACACTATAACCTATAAATATGTGCGTTGTCAATTAAAATTAATAATGAAAGTTAAAAAACCATAAGACTGTATGTAAGTAAGTAAATGGCTGATTATGTTATGACAGTAAACTAGTCCTACTTATATCAGCTTATTTTGAAAAAAAAATTTACTATCCTCTCTTCACCCTAATACTTTTGCATACCTTGGCTTGAAACAAGATAAAACAGTATTGCCTTTCCAAGTCAACATTTTATTTTTCTAACTTAGTTCTTTAATTTTTAGTTTGCCACAGGCAAAATGTAATTTTCTTCTCTAAAAGGGACAGTTTTAGTAAAAAAAAGGAAGTAAAAATAGATCTTTAAATTAAAGCAAAGATATTTTGAAATTGTTTCAATTTTCTATACAAGTAACAGGGGATATTAGAATAATATAAACAATATTCATTTCAAAGTATTTTAAATCTAGTTGCCAAAAACCTAAAGTCTGGCTTTCAAAGAAGACTCAAGACTTCTTAAGTACTGGAATGAGAACGTATTCTTTAACTGTGATTTGCAGAATACACACTACACAAGGGCACACAGCATTAAGAGCCTGCAACTTGGGAATTCAGCAATGGTTTCTGCCCTCAATGGGCTCTTCCTTCTAATACCAGTTCAGGTTAGGAAAAGTTAACTTTTCTCTTCGCTAAATTTTCTCATCTAAATATTTTTTGAAATATACAATATGAATGAAATTACTATAATTTATGACATCATTTTATTATCTTGAAAAAGAGCGCTTCATGAAATTTTGATAATTCGGCATCAGTGGAAAATAGCAGCCAGGTGTGGTGGCTCACGTCTGTAATCCTAGCACTTTGGGAGGCCCAAGGTGGGCAGATTACTTGAGTCCAGGAGTTTGAGACCAGTCTGGGCAACATGGTAAAACTCCATCTCTACAAAAAATTAGCTAGGCATGGTGGCTAGTTACTCAGGAGGCTGAAGTGAGAGGATCGCCTGAGCCCAGGAGGTCGAGGCTGCAGTGAGCTATGATCGTGCCACTGCACTTCAGTCTAGATGACAGAGTGAGACCTTGTCTCAAAAAAGAAGAAAAGAAAAGAAAAGAAAAGAAAAGAAAAGAAAAGAAAAGAAAAGAAAAGCTCAATAGAGAGAGGTATTTGAAATATCATATTTTATCTGAGAAAACTAGGCCTTCCTTTTCCTATTTCCTTCAAATGCAAAAACTTGCTTAGATATAAAAGCTTTCTAATTCATAGCTGCCAAGTATCAGAAAGGGAAAAAGGTTTAATAATTCATAAAAACAATAAAATATTTATAAAACCAGTAAATATGGTACCCTTCCCACCAAATGCCTGGAGAAACTGCTGGATACCAAATGTCCATTAATATGTGTAATATGTCATCATCTTTTATCATATGTGAATACAGACAGTTAAATGCAACAAAAAAGTATATTCTCAGAGGGGTGTATTACTGATTATAGTTGTTGTTGGTTCTGACACTGCCTTATATGATTAGGGAGACAAATGCCAGTTTTCCAATTAGGTACATAGAAAACAAACCCACAAATAATAAAATACTTTTTTACAAATCAAATCACTGTTCTCAAGCTGGATGCAAGGATTTCTTGAATTTGTTGACTTCTAAGATAAGTGGTTCATCTTTATAGGTAGGATTCTTATAAATAATCTAGAATGATCCTTTCATTTTACAGAACAGAAAACTGTAAAGTCAATTTATCATTCCTGGCTGGGCATGGTGGCTTATGCCTGTAATCCCAGCACTTTGGGAGGCTGAGGCGGGAGGATCACTTGAGCCCAGGAGTTCGAGACCAACCCTGCCAGCATGGTGCAACCTCATCTCTACTAAAAACAACAACAAAAAACTAGCCAGGCTTGGTGGCACAGCTTGTAATCCCAGCTACTTGGGTGGTTAAGGCACGAAAATCGCTTGAATCAAAGAGACGGAGGTTGCAGTGAGCCAAGATCGTACCACCTCACCGCAGCCTGGGAGACAGAGCGAGATTGTCTCCAAAAAAATTTTCTCATTCCTCTTCTGCCTCTACACTAACCACTTATATTTGTAAGAACTCTGTTACAAAAGTCCAATCAAGTGTGGCAGACCAATAATTGGCCACATCAACAACAAAAAAAACTGAATGCCTGCATGAAGCTTTACCAAATGCTAAAGTCCCAGGAAACCATATGTCACATAATACAAACGTAGGGATTTTATCTATTTTAAAACATTTAATAAGCTTGTCTCAATTGGTTTCCTAGACACAATGAGGAAAACATTAGCCTGCGATGAGGAACTAAAACAAAGGCAGTGATACACTAAAAGGAGCAGTGAACTAGGAAATGGTGGAGCTAGGTTTTTATTACTGTCACTCATCTTCTGTGGATCATAAACCGGAATATTAGTTTCCACAACTGTAAATGAGGAGTTTGATTTAAATGATCTTTTGAGTCCCTTTTGGCCTTAATATTCAATGACTTCAGTATGCTAAAGTGACTCCCACATGACTGAAAGTCAGCACCTGGTTTTCAAGTAGAAATAATTTTTTAAAAAAACTTTGCTATGCTTACTTAGGTATTAAAAGTATCAAATGGAGATTTCATTTATTACCTTAGGCATTAGTTCTTTAAAAAGGGTTTACTGAAATGAGACCGCTATTCTAATCAGCAAAGATCAACCCACTACATTCATCGGCAATATCTTCAAGCAGCTATAATTCCTATGCGATTTACTCCTTCATTTATTCCCATTGCTTTTCTCAGCCAATCTAATTCAGGAGTCAGATAGATCTGAGTTCTAAGCCTATTTCTGCCATTTGCTTATGTAATCATTTTGGGGAAAAACAAAAGCTTTGAAGTCGTGGGGTTATCTTGCAAATTGAGATGTGAGATGAGAAATATTAACCACAAGCACAAAAGTAACAGATCAAGTGTTCAATAAATACATTGATTTAGTATTTTACTTGATAATCCTATTCTTTCACTTTCTAAAACTGTCTTGGTCTCACTCTCTCCTGTCCTTTCATCACTAGCAGCTCTACAAAACAGTCATCCTTACAGTAAAGAGCCCAGTGACATGAGGTAAGCCTGCAACCATTATTCTACATAGCTCTATCTTTTATACCCCAATCCACTGTTCTCTTCATTCCCTTCCTGCTCTCAATGGTGATGATGGTGGCAGCAGCAGTAATCACAGTTACTTCTTCCTATCTACTATGTGCTAAGTTGAAAACTGTGCCTTTACATATTATGTCATTTAAGCCGCAAAAAACCTTTTAGGTAGATATCATTTTCATTTTACAGGTGCGAAATCTGCATCTTAGATGACTTAGCTTTAGAGAACTAGATCTAAACATGTTGTTGTTTTTAACTGTTGATTGGGTTAAAAAACATGTAAAATTTACCATCTTAACTGTTTTAAGTGTGTGGTACTCATACAGTAGTATTAACTATATGTACACTGTTGTGCAACAGAACTTCTTCATCTTGCAAAACTGAAACTCTATTCCTATCAAAAAATAATTCCCTTTTCTTCTTTCCCTTAGCACCTAGCCACCAGTATTTTACTTCCTGTTCTACCTGTATTACTACTTTAAATATATCATATGAGTGGAATCATGCAGTATTTGTCTTTTTGCATCAAATGTTGTTTTTTTAATACTATATCAGACCAATGGACAGATTATATTCTCTATGTTTGTAGGTTGCTTGTTTTGACAATTTTCTCCCAAGAAAGGATATCACACATGATGACTATATTCCTGGGCTAGCTAATAAAGGTCTATCACATGTTTGTTAACCCACAATGCTATTAAAAGAACAGTGCTAATAGTGGGAAAGAAGAAATTTACAGGCAGGGCAGAGGAGGAGGCAGCCATCACCAAAGTACACTGTCTTTACAAGTGAAATATTTATAGGCTAGGAACTTCCTGTATATAAACAGCAACTAGACAGAATTTCCAGACATTATAAGAAATATTATCCAAATCTTTATATCATTTTCAAGAGTTTTTCCTTGCTTAGTTCATTTTCGATACATGCCGATATATCAAATGTAATCTCAATGGCTGGATCTGTTCAGAGAAATAAACTTGCTAATGCCTCACTCAAATATTCCTGAAAAGAATATTTCAATATTATTTCTGCAGATTCAAAAAATGTGACAATTATATGAGATAAAGTCATAATATCATAAATAAAATGAAATATGAGTTAATAAATGGAATATGTAGAACATCTATTTAGGAAGTACACCCACTTCCCTTTAAATAGGGTGGACATCCAGGCAAATAGCACCTTTCATACCTGTACAAAAACTTTCTGGAGTAGTCCTCGACGTTCTGCTAGAGGTAGCTCATTCTGTGCACCTCCAACTGCCTCAGGCACATGTGGAAGGTCAAAAAACAGATATAAACATTTAACCAGGGTGGAAGGCACTGACATTGTTGTCATGCAGTCCACAGTTTTCTGGAAAACAAACCAATAAATAAGTGAATAGATAGACAGACACAACTATAATTGGTACAGCCAAATAATTCATAAATGTTAACCTGAAAATTACATATCAAGGTAACTTTTTAAATGCATATAAGAATTTAAAAATGACTCCAAGTGAAGAAATATACAACTTTGCATTTGAATAATTTTGCTTTAATCAAATAGTGAGATTGAGTTTGTTATATAGTAAATTAGCAATTAAAGGTAATATTTATTTATTAAAAAGCAGCATGTTTCAGGAAGCATAAGCTTTACAATTCAGAAAAACAGACACTTAATAACTATGAACTTCAGCAAACTACTTAATTCTCCTGAGATTCACTTTCCTTTCTTACAGAAATAGAAAGAATGATACACCCTCTTCAGGGTTAACATGAGAGTTATGTAAGATAATAAACACAAAGATACATTAAGCACTAAATTGTATATTCATTGTTGCTCTTCTATTATTTTTGTCTTTATTCTTATTGTAGATTTTTGAGGCTAGAAAGACACTTGAGTGATAAAGCCATCACTGACACCAATACATCTCCATATTAGTTTCAAAGATATCCAGAGGAGAAACTCCTCTAGACCTTCTTACAGTACATATTTCAACATTGTTAAGTATGATATATTTATCAAAATTTTCCATGGTGCAGTTTGGAACAAAAAGTTTAACCGCACTAGAGATCAACAGACTGCATAATCTGTTGATTCGTTTATTTACTTTCTCATAAAACATTTATTGAGTGTGTAGGGAATGTTAGGCTGTGTGCTGGGAGCTGGGCATGCAAAGATGAAGCATCTCTGTCCTTCAGAAGACCACAGTCGACTGGAATTATTAGAGTCCTAAATAATTATGATTTAATCTCTTAAGATTTCAGTCTAACAATGGTAGTACATACAGGCTAATATAAAAGGGATTAACCAACACTGCCAGGAAGGGCATTAAAAAGTATAAGGAATTAAAAAAAAGGGAAAGATCACCTGGAAGATACATAGGAGGTGGTTAGGCCATATGGTACAGTATTTTTGAAGAACCACAGATTCCAAAAATGCTGACTCCTGAAGAGCCACAATAATAATGGCTAACCTTGAATTACTGTTTACTATGTAAGAGGCATAAGGCTAATAAGCACTTTACATACATCATCTTACCTACTACTTAAGTCAACCCCATGAGACACTTCATTTGTAAAATGATCCTTATTTCACAACTGAAGCAACTGAGGCTCATCACTTACATACCCTGCTTTAGGTCAGAGAGCTGGCTAAGTGGCCTAGAAAGTGTGTATGCTCAATCACCTATGAAAATAGTCTCACGTTTTATTTTGTTGGCAGTGATGACCCAGTGAAGTGTTACAAACAAAAAGTAAAAGAACTAGATTTCAGAAAATTAACTGGTGGTAATACAGATCATAAATTAAATATAGAGAGCCAGAAGAAAAGGGTAATTAGGAAACTAACTCCCCAAACCACAGAAGAGATGGGGCCAGAACTAATGCAGTAGCAGGGTGATGAAGAAGAGAGAGCTTCAAGACTATCCCTGGAAGATGTGGCCCCTTTCTACATACCTAACCTGCCATTTCTTGTCTCGAATACTCTAAACCTTTTATTCTATTCACCTACGATTTATTATTTCTTAACACTTGCGTTACCATACATTTAATGTTCAGTTTAAACATCTGCTATGTCTCAAAGTTTACTGAACTCATCTTCCCTTCTACCTTCACCTTCAAAATGTTTAACTCTCACATTTCTATTTTCAATAGCACTATATATGCCCCTTTATTAAATATGATGGTATTATCTTTTCCTGCTTCATCTCTGTCATCTATGCATTGAGTCGGGACTATGTTTTGGTCATCTCTGTATATCGCTGCTACCAGGAGAAAATGGTGCTCAAAAAAGGTAGCTCCAAACATAACACTGAATTTGCTTTTCAAATGTTATCTATTTCCAGATAGATTATTACGAGCTTTAGCTCACCACTAAGCAAAGTGGTATGACATTTCATTTTCATCTGATTGTAGATAGATTTAAAGTATAACTTGGCATCTAAACTTGTAATTTTTAAGTAATTAGGTTTTCACAGAAAATATGAATAAATGTAGAACATTGTACTAAAATTTAATATTACTTATATTAAATATCAATAGTAAATATTTAAATTACATAAAGTTTTAAAAGCAAATAAAGATGTGCTATTCTAAACCAAATTTTGGTATAGTAACACACAGACATTTATAGCTACCATCAACAGCAAACAGAATTGAGATTTTGTTATTCATCCAGTAGAGTCAGATACATGAAAACAATGGTCTACTCTGGGACCATTTGAAGATTACTTAGAATAACCAACCCGCTCCATTTGCCTGAGACTGTGCAGTAACCTGAGATGCAGACCTTTCTATCCTAAAACCTGGAAAATCTCAGGAACACCAGGACAGGTTGGTTACACTAATTCCCTGAGATTAAAAAAAAAAAAAAAAAAAAAGAGGGCCAGGCACGGTGGCTCACGCATGTAATCCCAGCACTTTGGGAAGCCAAGACAGGCGGATCACCTGAGGTCAGGAGTTCGAGACCAGCCTGGCCAACACGGTGAAACCCCATCTCTACTAAAAATACAAAAATTAGCTGGGTGTGGTGGCACCCGCCTGTATTCTCAGCTACTCAGGAGGCTGAGGCAAGAGAATCGCTTGAATCTGGGAAGCGGAGGTTGCAGTGAGCCAAGGTCACGCCATTGCACTCCACTCCAGCATGGGTGACAGAGCAAGACTCCGCCTCAAAAAAAAAGAAAGAAAAAAAAAAGAAAGAAAAAACACAGCAAACAAATAAAAAGAAAATAGATCATTCCAAGGAGAAAATTCTAAGAGATAATTACTTTGGGTTACTGACAGGTTTCAGGATATGGTTACTAAGACGTACGCACTGTATCTGCTGTGGCCAGTCATCTGGTATAATGATGTTACAGTTACCTAGGTCCATTATTAAATGATGGGAGGTGTTTAAAAGTCCACTGTAACTTAGACAACAGACATTTCCAAGATTGGTACTGACTTCAGTAGGTAATTATACTCTGGATTTTAGAAGGCTGAATAAACCTCTTTCATTGTCAAAACATCAAAGGCCAAAAAATCAGGTAATTCAAATAGCTCATTAATGAGCACATGCAACATATTTCATGACAGATACTTACAGCTGATTTAGAGGAAATAAAAGTAATTTCCAGAATAAATCAAATGAGAAGAAAATATATATTATCCTAAAAACATCAATGTTTCCTTATTTCCCATACAAATTTAAAACTATTTTCCATGTAATTTGTTCTTTATTAGCTGAGTGACTTTACACAAACAGTGATTTTTTTTTTAATTTTCCTGAGCCAGAGTTTCCCTAACACGGGTGACAAAAATGTTGGGCTGGGCCTGATAGACCCAGAGTTCCAGAGCTACTTGCCACCAGTCAGAAATAGTTCATCTGTTTGCCCAGAATGCTCTACAAATGGTATCACTACAAAAATTTTTTTTTAGAGACAGGGTCTCATTCTGTCACCCAGGCTGGAGTACAGTGCTGTGATTATGGCTCATTGCAGCTTCAACCTCCAGGGCTCAAGCAATCCTCTTGCCTCAGCCTCTGAACAGCTGGGACTTCAGGTACAGGCCACCATACTCAGCTAATTTTTTTTTTTTTTTTTTTTTAAGAGATGGGGGTCTCTCTATGTTGGCCAGACTGGTCTCAAACTTCTGGGCTCAAGCAATCTTCCTACCTTGGCCTCTCAAAGTGCTGCAATTACAGGTGTGAGCCACTGAGCCCAGGCACAAATGGTTATGTTCCTATGTGTGTTACAACATATCGAGATGGAAAACACTGCTCTAAGTCATGCGTTTCCTTACGAGTAAAATGCATAGAACATCAAACTCCTGGCAGAGATGCTATGAGAAGCATGAAATAATGTTTTAAGAGAGTTAGAAGAATACAAATGATTATCATAGTATCTCATCCGGATATAATGATATATTTAATAACAAAATCACAAGAGAGGTTATAAAATAAAGACGCTGAGTTATCATACATGAAAACTAAGAACTTTACCTGACCAGAGGAAGCTAACAAATTAATTGTCGTCAGAAGCATCCAGCCTCTACTGGCTTCTTCACTCTGATTGATCTCCAGGAACTGAACTATGGCCCGACTTGCAGCCTCTATAAAACCAAAGGGAAAGTCATTAAGTGGGGGGAAAGTCACATATAAAGAGGTTTTTCTTTAAAACCTACCAAGAAAATGAAAATTTACTAAGCACATAATTAAATCAGTACTATTACATATGGAAAAACTTAAAAAATAGCAATGTTTTAATGATATTCATAAACCATTATATCGTTAATACAGAAATGTAAAAGCCAACCTATGTATTTCTGGGAAAGTTATGACAGGAGCTGATCAGAAAGTCACAGAAGAGGTGAAATTTGAGCTAAATCTGCCTGGAAAACAAGTACATGTTTGTCCAGGAAGTGGGAGTGATTAAAGATGCAGAGAGAACAAGAACACAGCAATAAAGCAAGAGTGGCTAGAGGAATGAGCCTGATACATACAGATCAAGACAAAGAACTGTGATAACACTTTCTTAACATTACAGAAGAACACTGTTGAGAAGTGGAGTCTAATACCAACAGTAGTGATTTTTTAAAATAGAGGTGCCTAATTATGAAGGAGGGTAAGCTACTGGCTGTATTTGTTTTTTGGGGCAAGAGGGAGCAAATGTAGTTTCTTGAGAAAAGGAGATGATGAAAGGATTATACTAAGACTATTAATCTAGTAGTAATGTGTATGACAGACTGGAAGGCTAAGGAGAATGGTGAGAGGGAAATAAAATTAAGAGGCTTCCTAAGTAATACACACAGGAATAACTTGAGCAGCTGACAGGAGGAAGAGAGAAACAGTGAAATACATACGACAGCCAATCATAGAACTGCAGACTTGGAAGAATCTTCAAAAGTAAATTTAGTAGATTATTTTCCTTATTAGAGAGAAGAGTAAATAGAGATGTCTCTAAATACGTACCTAATTTCATCAGCATGGTTTGCCAATTTTTATAGTAATATATGATAGGACTTAAAATTGTCAGAAAAGAAGTCCAATTTGGCAGGGTGCAGTGGCTCACACCTGTAATCCCAGCACTCTGGGAGGCCAAGGCAGGTGGATCACCTGAGGTCAGGAGTTCGAGACCAGCCTGGCCAACATGGAGAAACTCCATCTCTACTAAAAATAGAAAAATTAGGCAGCTGTGGTTTCATGAGCCTGTAATCCCAGCTACTTGGGAGGCTGAGGCAGGAGAATCGCTTGTACCCGGGAGGCGGAGGCTGCAGTGAGCCAAGATCATGCCACTGCACGCCAACCTGGGCAACATAGTGAGACTCTGTCTCAAAAAAAACAAAAAAAAGAACAGAAGGTAAGTTCAATTTGTTCAGTGGGAACTAACTGGGTAAAAAACTAATGTATACTTGGCTGGGTGTGGTGGCTCACGCCACCGAGGTCAGGAGATCAAGGACATCTTGGCTACTAACACAGTGAAACTCCGTCTCTTAAAAATACAAAAAATCAGCCAGGTGTGGTGGTGGGAGCCTGTAGTCCCAGCTACTTGGGAGACTGAGGCAGGAGAATTGCTTGAACCTGGAGCCAGAGGGTGCAGTGAGCCGAGATCACATCACTGCACTCCAGCCTGGGTGACAGAGCGAGACTCCATCTCAACAACAAAACAAAACAAAAAGCTAATGTATACTTAACACACTTCATAAAGAAGTAGAAAGTAGAAAATAAGATTTAGGTTATCTTAGGTGTATTTTTTCTTTAATTTAACATAAAATAGAAGTGTTTTATTAGATAACTGAATACAAGACTTACACATGATTCTGGGCTGGGCAAAGTTTAATCTTTGTAAACTTCCATTTGAGGGTACACTATAGCAGTAAAATTTTTAAAATAGCTTCTTTTTATTGCGTCTTAACTATATATCAAGCATTGTGTTAAGTACTTGTGGGTTTAACTCATTTAATCTTTACAAAGAACCCTGTGGGTTATTTTCTACTAATATATCCCTTATAATAGTGTAAGTTGAGAAATGCAGAAGATAAATAATTTGCCTACAATCACGAAGCTAGTCAGTGAAAGAGATCTGGATAGGGCTGAGGTTGAATGATACGGGGAGATTCCAAACTCCATCGACAAAATAAACTATCTTTACATAACAAATACATTTTAGTATTTTGTAAAGAATAGTATAACTGTATCACTGCAAAAAAAAAGAACTATTTTATTTTCACCTGCCAATTTCAGTATGTGTCATTCAGAATATTTCAAAGGCATCTCCCACTTTTTATTCTATTATTTTTTATTTTTTTGAGACAAGGTCTCACTCTGTTGTCCAGGCTGGAGTGCACGATCACGGCTTACTGCAGCCTCAACCTCCTCAACTCAAGCAATCCTCCTGCCTCAGTCCCCCATGTAGCTGGGACTAACAGTATACACCACCATGCATAACCAATTAAAAAAAAATTTCTTTGTTGAGACAGAGTATCGCTATACTGCCCAGGCTGGTCTCAAACTCCTGAATTCAAGTGATCCTCCTGTCTTGGCCTCCCAAAGTACTGGGATTACCTGTACCTGGGTGTGAGCTGCTGTGCCCAGCCTCACTTTTTATTTTAAATGAGGTAAGTGGCTCATTTTAAAAGTATATAGCATTTAGTGCTATCTTAAAAAATTATGTATACTAGCAAGACAATTAAAATAAAACCTCCATAAATCAAATGGTTTCTTAAAACTTTGAGGAAAAAATGCCCACTACTAGTCAGAAACATACTGGATCTTTTAATTTCAATATTTAACAAATACAAATATAAATGATGATTTAAGTTTTTAAGAGTTAATGAAAGAAGATATTAATAGTAACCCATCTTTAGAGTTGTCAATCATTTGATTCAAGCTTTATCTTTCACACTGCATTTCAATACATATAGTTAGAATGAAAAACACAGAAATGAGGTTAGTAAAGCCCAAGATTAGATTAAATAAGTAAAGAATGCAGACAATCTTAAATGCAATTTCTCAACCTACACTGAGAGAAAACAAACAAATTTAATTAGCATTCAAAACAATCAGAATGCAAAACATGTTAATAATAAGTGAAATACAAGTTTTCCTTGGTAAGTCCATTTAAAGCATATGCCATTTTCAAATTTTTGCTTCATGATGATGGTGAGTTACATTAATGGTATTATTATACTTATTTCATTAATGAAGACACAAAGCCCTAAACACCCTTACCCCCTCCAAAAAAAATTCCACAAGTTAGTCAGAAAAACAATATTAGAATTCACAGCTTCCATGCTTTTCATTTAACAATACATAACCACATCTTGGGAATGAAATTACCTGAAGGTGTTGTGGCTTTGAAATCCTTGGGGGACAGCAGGGCACACTGTTTTTCTGTTTAAAAAAAAAGGCTGGGTTGTCTAAGTGGGGATTCACTAAATTCCACTAATCCCACCACAAGAGTACTGGGGTCAACATCATCCAGCCTCTCCACTGCTCAATTGCCGCCCACTGGGGATTGCACTACTAGGTTTAACAGTGGCACCTAGCATGTAACAAAAACATTAATAATAAACTGAAGATACTACTTTATGCAGGTAGGAATTTTCTGCTTTGCTGATATAAATTGACCATGTGCTCTTAAACTTAAGCAGAATTAGAACTGGCTGAACTAACTAGAAGAGATGGGGAAAAATCTTAAGATACACCCTCTATACAATCTGGCTACAACATTATGTTTTTGTCAAATTAACTGAGTCACTACTTACTTCCAGCAAAAGCCACAAGGAGGCAAAGGAACAAGAAAGAATTAAGGGAGACAAGGAGACTGTGACTTGACCTAAATGTGTAACAAATCATCCATGTATCCATTTTGCAACTTGATATGCCCTAAAAGGTTTCCATTTACATTAACTTCAGACAGATGTAAACAACAGAACTGCACATAAGCTTGTTTCCTACTGAGATATCTACAGCCCATATCTCAAGTAATCTGATAAAAAAGTCTGTATCTGTGAGTGCTGATTAGGTAACACCCAAAATAACAAGTCTTCCATAATAAATTCAGAGGGGTACTGGAAGAATAATCTTGTTCTGGTGAACAATGAACATAACCAGCCTTCAAAGGAATAACAGAAGGTTCACTTCACCTGTTTTTTGGTAGAAAAACTATGTGAATGTAAATTAAGACAAAATTCTTTTCAATGATAACTGCCTATAAAATAAAAGGTTATATGAGGTATCTAAAGTAGTCGAACTTATAGAAGGAGAAATCAGAATGGTGGTTGGTGGCCAGGGGCTGAGAGGAGGGGGAAACGAGGAGCTGCTGTCCAATGGGTATAGTTTCAATCATGCAAGATTAAAAAAAAGTTCTAGAGATCTGCTTGCTGTACAGCATGGTACGTATAGTTAACAGTCTGTACTGTACACTTAAAAATTGGTGAAGAGGGTAGACCCCATATTAAATGTTATTTTAACCACAATAAAAATAAGTAAATAAGAAAATAAAGATGAAATATGTAAGAGTTGGATGATTTAGGATATACTTAGGTCCTGAAAAATCTAGAACTTTTTACTAGAAAATCAATAGGTCAAAAAGTCTCCATGAATGTATTTTTGATAACAACACTGACCAAAATAATCTTCCAATGTTCTAAATGAAAAATGAAAGAAAAAAAACAAAGATTCCCATAGCCAGGGTAAGGCTGACTAAGGAGACACTCCAGAATTATGTTCTTCTCTCCTAAAAATCAGGAAGGCTGGCTCTTCTAACTCTACTCTGATTCTCAAAGCATTAAAAAAAAAAAAAAAGGGCAGAGAAATCCTATGTCCAAAATCATTAAAAGTTTATTGAACACCTAATTATGTGACAACCATTATTCTAGGTGCTAGTAATACAGGGGTGAACACAACAGACAATAAAATTAAATAAGTAAATAAAGCAAATACTTTCAGATGATAACAAAGCTATGAAGGTTAACATACAACGTGACTGAATAGATACTAATGGGTGTGGGGACAGAGGATAGAAGACCTATTTGAGACAGGGTACTCAGGAAAGATTTTTCATGAGAAGTAACACAAACTAAATTGAGTATCATAGGATTCAAAGGTTAATGAATTTCAAAAGTTTAAAACTAAAAATTATGTGAAATTACACAATATGAAAAAAAAGTATCTTAAAAAATTCCTAGGTAATAAGTTGCCACCAATGAGGAAAAGTGGATGAAGAGCACATGATCCTAGGTACTATTTTTGTAACTTCCTAAGAGTCTATGATTATTTTAAACTTAAAAGTTAAAAAAAAATACTTGTGTAATTTTTACTGTAACAATGAGACATCTTCTACTCTATTTAAGACATCTTTCATTACATCTAAAAAATTTCTCTATGGATGTAAAATCATAAAGGGAGTTTGGAAAATGAATCTCCAATGTAGCAAAATGTCTTTCTACAAACATGCAGATTAAGTATTTAAAAAGATAGTAACAGAGGCAAGTATAAATAAGTTTTAGGAATTTTTTCCTAATCTAGTATGTCATTCAAGAAAGAATGGGGAATACCTCATTTCATCAGCATGGGTATTTCCTTACAGGACTATGAAAATGGATGAATACATCCATTAAAATGCTCGTAAAAGGATTTTTAAAAGGTATAAACTTTTAAGAACAAGAACAGGATAAGTGAAAGCAATGAAATTTTGGATATTAAAATAGCAGCGAGATTCATGGTTACTGATTACCAAACCCTAGAATCTTGAAGTAATTCAAGAAAAGTAGAAAAGCAACCAAACTACCAAAGAACCCCTGAGAGGCTCAGGAATTGGTGGCACAAGGCACCTTTGGAAGCAGAAGGAAATAAGAACTAGACAGAGAAGCATTGGTGGAAAATATGTTCAAGAGCACTTAGACCCAAGGTCCCCACTACTATGTGGGCACTAGACGGGAGGTTTGTTTGTTCAGTGAAAAGAATAAGAGAGGGAGTGTGGATTGGGGGGCACCAGGCACCATCTGGACATACAAAGGTAAAATAAAAGCTTATATACTAAACCTTGAGGGTCCCCAAACCTTTCCCCTACTTTGCTTCCAAAATGCTGAGTCAGGCATTATCTTCCAAGCAGAGACTGGACAATTCTCTGAGTACCTGCTTAGTTTAGGAAAAAGATCACCAAAAAAATAGCCTAGCAAGATCACCTTATGTTGCAGCCCACAGCTGCAAGTTTCACACACAATTAAAAAGCTTTTTAATGCTCCATTCTTATGTAAGAGTAGATGGTCATGGGTGAGACATGTAAGGACATTCTCTAACATAAAAGACAAAGATAAAAACAAATTGATTAAAAAAACTTTTTTATTAAACCTGAAAGAAACAGATTATTTAGGGAGACAAAAATCTGAAAGAAAAAAGTAAGAAACCTCAGAAAGATGAGAAGAAAATATACCCCAAAAATAACAGAAACCAGTAAGAAAGAACACTTAAAAATAAAAAATATTTTTTAAAATGAGAAAAATATAATGTCACAAATGAAAAAAAAAAAAACCTCTACAGAAGAGATAGATGATAAAATTGAGGAGTTCTCTCAGTAAGTAGTCAAAAAACAAAGAGAAAATGAGAGGAAAGATAAGAAAATGAGAGGAATATTCTAAGAGGGTCATCTGACTAGAAGGAGAAAACAGAGGGGAGGATATTATTAAACAATTCATGAAACTTTGCCCAAATTAAAGGATATGAATAACCAGACTGAAAGAGTCCAATGAGTACCCAGCACATGTATAAAAATAGGTCTACCACAAGGCATGTTATTATGAAATTTTAGAAAAGCAGGGACAAAGAGAGGATCCTAAAAGCTTCTAGAAAAAAAAAAAATAGGTCACAGAGGAAAAAAGAAAAAATCAAGAATATACGTAGCTTTTGATTTCTCAGTAACAATGTAAGAACTTAAATTATAAAAGAAAAATTTTAAAATTCTGAGACAAAATGATTTCCCACATAGAACCTGATACTTACTTAAAGAGGACTGATAATAATGCAGCTGCAAGATTTTTCCAAAATGACCCTGAGTGCTCATCCTCGGCTGCATGGAAGGGCAGAGCTAAGACACTCATCACTGACCATCTCAACCCATCGTCAACTTTCCCAGGCAACTGGTAGCTTCTAATCTCTGCTAAGAGGACCTCCTGGATTACATAGCTAGCATTCTCAAACAACTCCTATAAATATCTAACAAGTATTCAATGGCCTAAGTCATAGGCAGTTTAAATGTCTCTTCACTAACAAGATTACTCTTGAGTTTGTCCTTTAGGAATGGAGAACAATGGGGGACAGAGAGGAGGAGAGGAAAGTGTCTCTCCATTTAAATGTAAACCACAGCTGCGTTTCAGCGCATCTCCCCAGCACATGTATCTGTGAGATCACGAGAGTGGTAGATATGTGTCTTCTTTTCTCTTACTGACCCTTGGTTTTGTATTAAATAAGTTTCCTTTTCTATAATAATCATGCTGTATGATGTAACGGAATTTGTTCTAAGTCCTGGCAGCTGAAAGGTTGTCAGGTGAAAGAAGAGGAAAGAATCTAGTTTTTACAGCAATAGTCAAAAAATGTTTAACTCATGGTATGTCTAAAACAACAAGCAGAACAAAACCCTGATAACCCCCCTGCATCCTTTTTTACGAAGCTGCTGGAAAAGATGCACTACCAAAATCAGGGATTTAGGAAAAAGAATCCATCCAAAAGAAATGAAAAGGCATCTCAGGACAATGTGAATAGTGATGTTAAAATGGCAGCTGTGCAGCTGGCCTAGAGAGCAACTACTACAGATGACAGAGAATCCTAAGTAGCTTATGGTCTACGGCGAAGATCAAGAAACATGCACAATGACCACCCAGGAGGTTGAGAAGAAAAACAGTAGTTCAGAAGAGAAAAAATGTTTCTTTGCCTAAAGAAATCAAAAAGCATTTCATCAAGGAAGCATGACTTAATCATGCTGACATTTAGACATACTGAAATGAGGAAAAGATTCTCCTTCCTCAGTGAAGCATTCTAAGAAAATAATTAAAATAAGAGAATAAACATGTTTGAAGATTACAGACAGCAGGATTTGGTTGAAATACAGAAAACAAGCAATAGAAGCAGTGTATGCTTAAAAAAAAAAAAAAAAAAGACCAGATGATAGCTTGGCCTTAAATTTCATGCTGAGGAATTTGTATTTTGTTCAAAGGGAAACAGAGAGTATTTTAAAGGGTTAGGGTGGAAGTGGTAGTGGTCCAGGCAGAGTAGCCTTGAGTAGAACTACTCGAGAGTTGAAGATGCTGAAACCAAGAAAAGAATGTGACTCTAAGAAAGGGAAAGGGAATGGGTAAATGAACTTAATACTCAATGTGCTGAGAACAAGGTCTGTTTTCCATTTAATTTTAATGGGACTTTTACAGAACTGTCTGTTCATTCAAACAAATCAGTTTTTGCTGGCTACTGTAAAAATACCTGTGGATTTGTTTGATGCTCTCCTTCGAATTTCTGTCACCATTAGTCGTGAGACTTGTGTTGTGAACTGCAGAAGATCAGAAAATTTTTCTGTCATTGTATTCGGCGGAGCATTTCCAAAAACCTGTAGATAAGAAAAGATATAGTTAACGAAGCACTGACACATTTTTCTTCTATTTTGTGAATTCTGAACTGTAGTATGACTTGAAAATCAAGTCCAGAAAAGTCTACCTACACAGTTACTTTGAATCTTAATACGTTGGAAACACAACTTTCAATAAATCACATATCTAGCCACATTTCCTTTTACATATAAGTTTGCTCAAGAAATGATTAAATAAATGAGATCTATTTATTTTAGACATTATTGATAAAATTTGAATCAATCTCACTAAAAACGTTAGAAATTGTAACTTGTTTCTTTTTTTTTTTTTGAGACGGAGTCTCACTCTGTTGACTAGGCTGGAGTGCAGTGGCACGATTTTGGCTCACTGCAACCTCCGTCTCCTGGGTTCAAGCGATTCTCCTGCCTCAGCCTCCCAAGTAGCTGGGACTACAGGCGCATGCCACCACGTCCGGCTAATTTTTGTATTTTTAGTAGAGACAGGTTTCACCACGTTGGCCAGGCTAGTCTTGAATCCCTGACCTCTGGTGATCCGCCTGCCTCAGCCTCTCAAAGTACTGGGATTACAGGCATGAGCCACTGCGTCCGGCCAACATTTTTCTGACAAAACCTAATTTGAGAATTTAGAGAAAAGTTATAAAGGATCTTTGATGGAGTACAGGCATATTGGATGGTGAAAAGCAGCTCCACTGCTAAATCCCAGGCTGACTTCGGAATTCACTAAACTCATTTCATATCTCAGAATTTCTACATTCTGATCACAATAATTTACAAAACAAGACTGTTACAAAAAAACTAGAAAAAAAAATAGGAAGGTCATGAAATAAACTTGTTTTTACACAAATTTTAATATAAATGAGCTTTAGAATAAATGTCTTATTATCTTTCTTTTTTTTTTTTTTTTTGACAACTGGGTCTTGCTATATTGCCCAGACAGGTCTTAAATTCCTGGGCTCAAGCTATCCTCATGCCTCTGCCTCCCTAAGTGCTGGGATTACAGGTGTGAGCCACTGTATTCTGTCCACAATAAATAATTTTTAAAAATAAACGGGTATGGGTTCAGCAAAGAGAATTTGAGAAAATGAAACCTGGACAGACCATCATAAGAAAAGAAATGGTATTTTAATGGGTAAATAACTAGATGTATCCTGAGGTATTATTTTAAAGAATATTCTTTATAGCTGAAAGGAAATTCTCTATATTCTAAGTCTATTATAGTATCTCTCCCTTTTAACACTCATTACACAGTATTTTATATAATTATTACCTATTGAAATGTCACTACAAAAGGAGAAAACATAATTTACTCATCTTCATATTCTCCCAAGCCAGCACTCTGCCTTTTATAGTAATGTTCCCTAAATATGGTTGTTTATTTATATGTTGACTGCCCTCACAACCAAATTCTAGAGAATATTCAAGGAGCACTGAAGGAGAACATGAGAACATAAACTAAAATTAAGAAGGAAAACAAAACAAACAAGCAAATAAAAGACCCAGCCAGGGAGATGGATTGGAAAAGAAAACTAAATAAAAATCTAAGACCAGAAAGACCTCTATATTTTCCATGTATTGGTTACAAATTTTGGCTCAAAGATACAGAAGAGAAAACCTGATCAATCACATCATTTGCAATGTCCTTAGCATGAAAAATATATATATTTAAGGAAGTACTTGTATTCCTCATATTACACTAGTCCCCCTTATCTGTGAGAAGTAAGTTCTAAGACCCCAGTGGATGTCTGAAACCATGGATAGTACCAAACCTCATAAACACTATATTTTTTACCACAATACATACCTGTGATAAAGTTTAAGTAATAAATTAGGCACAGTAAGAGCCTGGCAACAATAATTAATAACAAAGTAAAAAAATTGTAACAATATACTATTCGCAATTGCACAAATACAAGATTCCTTCTTATTACAGATCTCAGAAACCTCAGCACACAGTTTTTGGTCTTTCCTTACTAAGTCAAGAACTTATACCTTTTCACTTAAAGGAAAGACTTCTCTCCGGCATACCCAAGTTACCATCCCCACAACTTTTGCACTTTGGGGCCATTATTAAGAAAAATAGAGCTTCTTGAAAACAAGCAGCTTGATACCAGAACAGTAGGTCTCATAACTGAGGCTGCCACTAAGTGACTATTGGGCAGGTGGCCCATACATCATGGATACACTGGACAAAGGAATAATTCACATTCGGGGAGGGATGGAGCTGAATGGTGTCAGATTTCAAACTCGTGAATTGTTTGTTTCTGTAATTTTCCACTTAATATTTTTAGAGCACAGATGACCGAAACTATGAAAAGCAAAGCCCTGAGTAAGGAGGGATTACTGCATAATATAAACGATTCCTTCCAAATATCCCAATAAAAGGATATAACAAACAATGTGATATCCTTCTAATAGAAAATGTGTTTCTTACACATGTTTCTTATAACCTCCCTCAAATTGAGTTGAAAACACTAAAACAATAAATCAATTCTACAAGGGTATCCTTTTATCCAAACACCTAGTCTGTTCAATAATTTGACAAATGAGTAATTTGTAAAAATCTCAAAAAATAAACTGTACTTTTCAATACTTCCTCAACAAACACATTTTTTTCTGCTGAGATTTTGATAAATGTTGTGTGCTTAGAATTAACCTGTGTTACTTGTTAAATAATCTATGTTACCTGTTAAATAACCCTCTCCTGCCTTTTTTTTTTTTTTTTTGAGATAGGGTCTTACTCTCTCATTCAGGCTGGAGTGCAGTGGTGCAATCATGGTTTACTGTTAGCTCAATCTCCTGAGCTCAGGTGATCCTCCCACCTCAGCCTTCTGAGTAGCTATGATTACAGGTGCCTGCCACCACACCCAGCTGATTTTTCTATTTTTTATAGAGATAGGAATTCTGCCATTTGTACAGGCTGGTCTTGAACTCCTGGGCTCAAGTGATCTGCCCACAATGGCCTCCCAGAGTGCTGGGAATACAGGCATGAGTCACTGCGCCCGGCCAGAAACCTCTATTCTTTAACAAACTGGAGACTGATAAAAATTGAGAAGCCTAATAAAGACACATGTTTGAATAGCCATTCCACCTGTGCTCAGAGATGAGTACATAGCCTTTTGTTATTGTTGTTGTTGAGACAGAGTTTTTGCTCTTGTTGCCCAGGCTGGAGTGGTACAATGGCACATTTTCGGCTCACTGCAATGTCTGCCTCCTGGGTTCAAGTGATTCTCCTGCCTCAGCCTCCTGAGTAGCTGGGATTACAGGCACCCACCACCACTCCTGGCTAATTTTTTTTGTATTTTTAGTAGAGATGAGGTTTCACCATGTTGGCCAGACTGGTCTCAACCTCCTGGCCTCAGGTGATCCGCTCATCTCGGCCTCCCAAAGCGCTGGGATTAAAGATGTGAGCCAACTCTCCGGCTGAGTACATAGCTTTTTAATGGAGGTATTTATAATATTCCTATTACTCAGAGTGTATCAATGTATATTTTGCTCCTAAGAATAGTATGAGGTATTTTATTGCTAAGAGTTATTAGGACAACTAAACAAAAGCAATAGCTAGTTCATTTCTTGAACAGTTGTAAGATACGATTATTCAACCAATCTTCATGCTGGGTAAATAATATGCTGTTGAAAATGCCAGTAACTTTTTACACAAATCCTGATGTTTACTGCTTTATTTCCTCTAATAAATTTTCTCACAAGATAAATAAAACTGGCTTGAATTTACCAACTCAAAATCAGTACTGCAGAAAAAGACTATGTCATATTTGCTAATCTGAAATGAACAAGCACCGCTTCTTAAATAAGGTTTATTCGGTTTATTCACTCACAAATATTTACTGGCTTCCTAGTATATATGCCAGGCAATGTTAGAAGAGTACTGAATACAAAGGTAAATAAAACAATATGATTTCTGTGCTCATGAAACACAGGACATTTTAGCACAGAAGACCAATGGTAAATAAGTTGATTTTAAACTTAAAATTATTTAAAGATAGTATCATGAAGAAAGTAGAACAAGGTGGCTGAAAGAGAATGCCTGGGGTGGGAAGAAGGTTGTCAGGAAAGCTCTCTCTGAAGAAGTGACACTGCTGCCAAAGGATGATACTGACTACTGAGGAAAAGTTACAATCCAAAGAGACAAGGAAAGAGGGTTGCAGTCAGTGAGATCAGAGCTGTGCAAAGACCTTAAAGTGAGACTGATTTTGGGGTACAGAGTAATGAAAAGGAGGCAGATAAAGCTGGGGCATTTTGTCTAAGAGGAAAAATGGTACAAGAAGATTGGAGGGATAGAGGAACTAAAGCATGAATCTGACATTGCAGATAATACTGAATGGATAAGGTAGCAAAGAAAACTGTAGTTTTTGTGATTGACTTAAAAAATTAAATCTAAAAGTATTAGGTATGTTTTCACTACTTTCAATAAGTAGTGGTATTTCTTGAAACTATACAATGCTTCCATCATTTACATAAATGTTTGCCAAAGAGGATGCAGCATGAAGCTGGGTGTCAGAAGGTGTGCTCACTCTCAGGGAGTACTGACTACTTGTCAAATTTTTCTGGTTCTAGGTCAGGTACAGTGGCTCACGCCTTAATCCCAGAACTTTGGCGGGCTGAGGTGGGTAGATCACCTGAGGTCAGGAGTTGAGACCAGCCTGGCCAACATGGTAAAACCCCATGACAACTAAAAATATAAAAATTAGCTGAGTGTGGTGGCACATGCCTACAATACCAGCCACTTGGGAGGCTGAGGCATGAGAACTGCTTGAACCTGGGAGGCATAGGTTGCAGTGAGCAAAGATGGCACCACTGCACTCCAGCCTGGGCAATAACAGAGCCAGACTTGGTCTCAAACAAACAACGACAAAAAATTTCTGGTTCTGCAGAGGAAGAAAGTTGGGCAAGAGAACAGGTAACACATTCAACTCAAAAGGGCTGATTCTAGAATAGATACGTAAAATTCATAACAGATTAAAAAAAAAACAGTACTGAAGAAC